TTATGAGATAGCTAAGTCATAATTATGAGATAGCTAAGTCATAATTATGAGAGAGTATCTCATAATTATGAGATAGTATCTCATGAGATACTATCTCATAATTATGAGATAGCTAAGTCATATTTATGAGATAGCTAAGCCATAATTATGAGATAGCTAAGTCATAATTATGAGATAGCTAAGTCATAATTATGAGATAGTATCTCATGAGATACTAAGTCATAATTATGAGATAGCTAAGTCATAATTATGAGATAGTATCTCATGAGATACTAAGTCATAATTATTAGATAGCTAAGTCATAATTATGAGAGAGTATCTCATAATTATGAGATACAAGTTTTATTTTTTTATCAGGGTGGCGGAACTGGGCTTCCACAGCATTGAAAGAAATTGGCCAAAAGAAAAAAAGAAAAAAAGAGAAGGCAGTTAAATAAAGAAAATCCTTATATGTGCCATGAATAAAAAAAACAGATTAGAGCCATGACACTAAGTTGCTACAAACTGGTTGGGAAAAAAAAAAACAACGCTTGATGTGAACATTTTATTCAAAATAATTTCATAAAGGTTTATTTTCCTCCCACGTTTATGACTAATAAGTCTGTTTTTGTCCAAAAGTGTTGAATGATCACCAACTGGATCAGCTCAGTTACAGTTTTAGAAGCAGCATGAATCACACACCAGGGCTGACTCCAGAGCACACACACACACACACACACACACACACACACACACATACACACACACACACACACACACACACACATGCACTGTCTGTGCATGCGTCACCATTCCTTTTGCAAAATCCAACTCAGAAGAACTCATGACCACAGAAGTTACGTGCTGTTCCAGTCTGCATCCAACAAACATCACACGGTCGACTGAAGCCGGCTGAGCAAACATATTTTAGGTGCAAACAAACCTGTATTTTTTTATTAAATGTCCAGTTTATGCTGTGAATGTTTGACATTCTGTGCTTTGGCCTCAGATAGCCTCAGCATGATGTTCCCACATAACCCCAGCATGATGAGGAAACAGAAAGAACAATGGTCTTTAGCGCCCTCTGATGGAACAAAAGATAGATTTGTTTTCTTTAGTTCTGGTCAAAAACGTGCAGAAAAGCAAACCCAGTCAATCAGGTTGTAGCTGATAAATCCAGACCCTCCTCTGCAGTTTTTATTATTATTATTATTATTATTATTATTATTACTCAGTGTTGGAGTAAAATCTGCAGATCCTCAACCACTGATCAACAGATAAGTGGTGTGGGTTTAAATCCAGACTGGTAAACTTAGTCTAATAACACTGCAGAGTTCACATTGCTTATTCCCTTTCATCTCACTGGTGCCTCGGAGACAGAGACAGGAGTGGGTTTATAAAGATGAGGGCTGTAGTCAGAGGAGGAGGAAGAGGAGGAGGAGGGGAGGAGGAGGGGACACAGACAGGCTGAGTCTCTCTCTCTTTCTCTTTTTTTTTCTTGCCCCAGGGGTGTGTGCTGCATTTGCTCTCTCTTTGTCTGAAGACTGATTACCAGAAGACCAAAGAGAGTAAACATGAATTGTGTTACTTGATGAAAGCAGAAAACATAAAAAGATAGTTTAAATGCTTGAATGCAGTCACGGCTCTGGGTCTGGTTTTAGTTTTTGTGTGGCAAAAAATAAATAAAAACAGTAAAATATGAAGGTGTTCTATTCAATAAAATCTTCATTTTTAAATGTATATTTTGCAACAATGGTGAAAATATGTCTCTTTACTGGGTGCTTTACTGCTCCCATGTGGATATGGAGAATACTGACGTGTTTTGAGTATTTTGCAGTAAGTTTAAGTCACCACATGATGGCACAGTTTTCAAAACTAGCTTTCTTTTTTTTTTCACCACAAACTGCATTTATAAAACAGCATCATATACAGCCTATAGATTATATTTTTGTATTATTCTTAAACCCACAAGTCATCGGTTTCTTGGCGTTAACGTCGGTGAGTTACCAGACCTTCCTCCTGCTCTTGTTTCTGCCCTCAGGCTTGAAAGCTCCTGGAATTCCCTGGGTGGAGACGAACTTCCTCAGCATTTGTTCCTTCCTCGCTGACTCAAACTGAGAAACACTTTTCAGTTTAATTTTAGATTAAAGAAGCCTTGCAGAATCAGTTCAAATGAGTTGGATCTAATTTAGGAAACCTGTTTATGAGGAGTGCAAACTTCTGGTGTGTCAGATTTTTATCCATCCATCCATCAATCCATTTTCTTCTGCCTATCCGGGGTCAGGTCGCGGGGGCAGCAGCTTCAGAAGGGAGGCCCAGACCTCCCTCTCCCCAGCCACTTCTTCCAGCTCCTCCGGGGGAACTCCAAGGCGTTCCCAGGCCAGCCGAGAGACATAGTCCCTCCAGCGTGTCCTGGGTCTTCCTCGGGGCCTCCTCCCGGTGGGACGTGCCCGGAATACCTCACCAGGGAGGCGTCCAGGAGGCATCCTTACCAGATGCCCGAGCCACCTCAACTGGCTCCTCTCGACATGGAGGAGCAGCGGCTCTACTCTGAGTCCCTCCCGGATGACTGAGCTTCTCACCCTATCTCTAAGGGAGAGCCCAGCCACCCTGCGGAGGAAACCCATTTCGGCCGCTTGTATCCGGGACCTCGTTCTTTCGGTCATGACCCAAAGCTCATGACCATAGATGAGGGTAGGAACGTAGATCGACCGGTAAATCGAGAGCTTCGCTTTCTGACTCAGCTCTCTCTTCACCACGACGGACCGGTACAGCGCCCGCTTTTTGTTCTTATTTTTATCTATTTGTGTAGCAATTAAAACAAACTCCCTCTACAAGCTCATCTAAGCTTCTTAAAATAGGCACTGCATTTTTACCAAAAGTGTTTTAGATGATATTATAACTACAATGAAGAAATGCACTATAAATTTTACCACAGTTCTGTTATTCAGTGACTAACGTAATTTATCTAAATTTGTTATGTTATAAATGTTAGTTTTAATATGAAAAGTTGAAGTTTCATGTTTAAACATTTTGATCCAAACCAGCATCAGCGAAGTTAAACTCCTTTTTATCTTTATAGTTGTGTTCCTGTTCAAAGATCAAGCAATTAATCTGAGGCTTAACTTGAGCTCAAACAATGAAATGATTCTCTCAAAGATTCATACAATAACGGTAAGAGGATTTTATAATGCTAAATGTGAGAAAATTTAGAAAATATGTTTTCTGACGTGTCAAATTGAGTATTTTTACAGTTTGTTGACATTTTATAGACCCCACCACCACCAACACCCTTCTGACTGTCACTTCCAGGGCTATTCAAAGAGTTGGAGGTAATAAAAAGAAAGCAGACTTTGCTCCTGAACGCCTGACATCATGTGCAGGGCTTGTGATGCAGCGGAAGCGTCTCTGGTCGTCGCAGGGAACAGACACGTCTGGAAGGTAACAATCTTCTGAAAAATGACTCTTTTATTTAAAGTCGAACAACATGGTACTGGTACTAGTTTTAAAAAAATGAATGAATACTTCTGAGAAAAGGCGCTAAAATAATCCAGATTGTTTCATCTTCTGGTTGATGTGATTGTTTGGAAGTTTTGTCCTGCTGTGAGGTCACCATGGACTGGGACAGGGACCTGAGGCGCACCCAGTCTCTGAAGAACATCCCTGGCTGGACCGATCCTGGACTGCGGGATAAGACGGCGTCTGTGTCCCAGTTAGTGGCCAGGTATGAGAAATACCGTCTCCCGCTGTGTTTAAACAGTTTTGTTTAATCTGTTACAGTAAATCTGTTACAGTAAATCTGTTACAGTAAATCTGTTACAGTAAATCTGGTGTTTGTCTGATAGGTATCAGAATGCTGTGAAGAAAAACACACTCAGCCAATCAGGCGCAGCAGAAACAGGTGGAGAAAAGACAAAGCAAGTGCAAAATGAGGTAACCTTGTTTCTCATGTGTTTGAAAAATAATCAGTTTGGCTGCAAACAAAAAAAGAACATTTCCCTGTGTGCATGGTTCTCAGAAGACACCCTCTCCTCCACAAACTCCAGAGACTCACTTGGAGTTTCTGATGAGGAGAAATGAGGACAGGGGGTGGACCCGGAGCAAAACCAGTTTGTTTCGCAGTAAATCAATGGGCAGCCTTCAAACCAACGCAGGCTCCATAGAGGCCCTCAGGGCCGTGTTCGAGTCCAAGGCACCAGCACAAAAGAACGTCAGGAGGAGCTTTAAAACTGTTAATGTAGCAACAAGTGCCACCGCAGACGTGCCCCTGATGAACGGCGAGGATGAGGGTCTGCAGAGAACACCTGCTGGGAGTAAGACCAGGAAGGAGGCAAAGGAGGATTATGAAGCTCAGCGGGTAAATATATAAATATACGTTCACTTTTTAAATCAATAAAAAACATTCACACAGTGAGAGTAACACATTTTGTATTTCTGTAGATCAATAATCAGATAATCAGACTGTGTAATTATTTGAATGAGTTTTTAAAGACTGAGGCAACAAACTTCACTTTATTCAATTTTAATGCAAGACATGAAATAAGACATCTACAGGGGTTAAAATAGGCTAATAAATTACAAAACATTTTGGACAATGCAAAGAGTAAATAATAAAACGTAAAAGTAAAACTGTCCCACAAGTTTCCAGATGATCCGTTTGTCTTGGACCTTAAACTTACAGATTTACACTTCAGTTTTATTCAGAAATTTGAGTGCTACTAAATCTAAATTTGTATGTGTGTGTTCTGCATCACTGCCTTCCAGAGTTTACTGACATTTGCATTTAAAATAAATCTATTTAATTTAAAACTGGGGCTGAAGAACCAGTTTGTAGTTTTACAGGATCGTAATTTTCACCATGATGCTTTGTTTTTCTAATGAAACACAGTTAAAGATTATATAT